CACAAGTGGAAACCCAGTAATGAGCAACATCAAAAAAATCTCTTTTTGTTCTCCATTTGTAACTAACAAGAAACTTCTCTTGGTGCAATCTTATCAAAGGCTATAAATTTCTCGAGACAGCTAATCAATCTAAGCTAAAGTAGTGGTAAAGGTGCAAGACACATTTAGCGTGATTATATTAACTGACTGATTTTCTTAACCAATAACCTTCTTACCAGCTATACGTTGCTACAAAAGCTGTAACAAAATATTTCCTACAAAAAAAAAAACCCAAACAAATAACAAACCCACATTAAAGAGTTTGCTAAGGAGAAATATTACCTGCGTGCCTTAGGTAAGATTTTATATGCAAACAAGCCTTATTTCCCAGAGTTTAATTTATAGGCCAAATTAATTCCTGATCAAGAGGGACTTCTGCTATTGGTTTCATGGAGCTCAAACCCCAGAAGAAAACAGCCTAGAATGAATCCAAGTAAATCCTGCAGACCCACCTGATGCTCCTTAAATAATAGGAAAGGCTGATGGGGGGGGGGGGGGGGGGGGGGGGAGAGGGGAGGGGAGAGGGGAGGGTGGCTAGAGGCAGGCTGAGAAACAGAGCACTGGGGCTGGTTAGGCTGGAGAAGGCTGTGTGGAGACCTCATAGTAGCCTTCCAGTATCTGAAGGGGCCTACAAGGATGCTGAAGAGGGACACTTCATCAGTGATCATAGTGATAGGACAAGGGGTAATGGGTTTAAACGTAAACAAGGAGATTTAAGGAAGAAGTTATTTACTGTGAGATTGGTGAGGCACTGGAACAGGCTGCCCAAGGAAACTGTGGATGCGCTGTCCTTGGAAGTGTTCAGAGCAAGGCTGGACAAAGCCTTGAGTGACATGGTCTAGTGTGAGGTGTCCATGTCTGTGGTAGGGGGTTGGAACTGGATGATCCTAAGGTACTTTCCAATCCAAACCATTCTATGACTCTAAAGCCAAAAATTCAATATCACATGATAAAGGCTATTTACCAGGACTGCACAAACCTTATAGATCAGGCTCTGTGGTATTCACATTATCGTGCATATACGCAAGTATATATCTAGGGCACAGTCAGAATTGCACATGCTACAGGTGTACAGATAAAATTAAAGAATAATCCATATACCAAATGCTTAAGTGTTTTTGAAACAACTTCATCACTATACAAGCACATCATGATAGAATCTAATTCACCAAAACTAAGACAGAATAAGCTTTTTACATTTTAATCAAAGTTAGAAATTAGATGAGATGTAATTAATTTACATATCCAACTGTGAAAGCTTCATTAAAATCCTTAATATCAAGTAATAAAACTACAATAAAAGTTTTTCTGGTATTACAGACTGTTTAATGCACTGAAAAAGGAAAGACTTTATAATCCACGATTTTCTGGACGATTTTAAGCAGTCACCTGTGTACACAAGTATATATTAAATATATGGTCACATACATATATCTATATATACTTTTTCTGAGAACAAAGCAAGAGAACACAGCAGTTATGAGTGCCTTCCCACATCACCCACCGTCGGATAAAGCACTTCTTTACCTGCAAACCCAGGTCATTTGGCATTTGCCAGGTTGATTAGTATAAAAAGGTAAATCAGGAATTCAAATGATCATACAGACTGAGGCATCCCTTAACTACCTTAGCTTTAAAATGGTCTTTGTTCTCTAATTAAAACATCTCTACTAGAAAGGCAACAGGTACAGGAAACACAAATAAGCAGAGGCAGGGTGAATAATTACCTTTTTGCTATTTCTAGATCAATTAAATGCAACACTCAGCAGTGTGCTCTTCCAGCAGCAGAATTCCCATTTACTTCAGGGACAGTTCAATTTCCAAAATGGCAAGACAAGGAGTATGGAGGAAAAAAAAGAAGGGTGAGGGGTAGAGAGGAGTGAGAAACATCAAACAAAAAGCAATTTAATTTAAATACGTTACTGTACTAGATTCTTACTACTAAATTCAAAGTTTGCTTTTAAGTCTCATTTCAATCGATTTGCAGAAAAAAATATCTAAAGAGTAAATTTAGATTAAATTGATCATTATAATTTATTTTATTAAAATAATATAGTGGAAAGGCCTTTCTTCCACTGAAGGGTTCTGGCTTTGATGTCTGATTGTTATGCAAATTCTGTGGAGTACAAGATATGGACAGAGGAATAATTAAGCTCAGGACTTGGTATGTAATAATTCTTACAAATGTAAATGTACCCTTGTTGGAGATAATGATGTGCATACGCACTGGGAACCATACACGTACATTAGCAAAGGCAGGAAAACACTCGGAAGGTGCAGGTCCTAGCAGATCCCTCCAAGGAGCGGGCTGGGCAGCAGGGCCAAGCTGGGCACATGTGATGGGGTCATCTGCACCCCTGAGCACTGCCTCGGAGCCCCTCATGGAGCAGTTTTCAGCACCAACACACAAACATTTGGCAAAACAAAGCAATCTTTGTTCTGGAAGATAAACATTGACCATATACTTCTATATGTTTCAAAGCACTCCATTAGAAACTGAACTTTGCCCCTTTCTCAGGCTTTGAAATATTTCTGCACCAAACATAGGCCTTTATTCTTCTTCCGCATGGGCATCCCTCTCCTGCTCCCGTACACCATATGGCCCCAGACCCTGGGACAAATTCTGTGCTGATTTATGGCCTCTGAGGTCTGAGGGACTGACCTGAAGCATAGATCTGGGGCGCAACACAAATGTGTAGCCTGCACATTCCTACACACGCTCATCTCTACCAGCCAAAGACAAGGGACTTAACATCACACCCACCGGGAACAGATTTGGGTCCGGGGCACATCACTGTAACCCAGGATAAGATGTAGCACAATGGACCCTGCATGTGCCAGCACACCTCTGAAAACCTGCCAACAGAGGGGAACACACCAGCCCTACATCAGAACTGCTGCGGGTGGATGCTGCTGACCCCGCCGGCATGCTGGGCGGCAAAGGGCTGGCTCTGCAGCTGCCACCAGGCAAAAGCATCATTGGACACCAAAGCAAGAGTAATCCAGACCAATCCCTCTGCAGGCAAAATAACTCCCAAAGAGAAACAAACACAACCAGTTTTTAAGGCACTGCAGCCCATCTTGCCATCTCTAAAATGAGTTGCACGTGGAGCACTGGAGCATGCAAAGGGGGTGAAATAGCATACACAGGCTAAAAAGGCCACCAGAGCCACAGATGAAGAAAGGATTGTCTTTGTTTCAGCCACAGCTTGGTAAAGAAAATAGCAAGTGAAGTCCTGCAAGATGAACACAGATGATGAGGTGGTCACATTAATAAGGGGCTCAGCGCTGAGCAGGGCAATGCCCTGTCACACCGCACTGTCCATGGTGTTTGTCAAGCTGCTGCACAAGTGCAGTTCTCCAGAGGAACATCGGCAGTTCACAGCCCTCTGTACCACTGCTGTCAACATCACTGAGACACAAAGCATTGGACATTAAGGGGGAAAAAAAAGGGAGGAGAATGTAGTTTTCACTTTTTGTTCATCCTATTGACCTTTTGGTTTCACTAAGCTTGGGAAATACAAAGTGATCAAACTCTTTTTTAATCATACCCATTTTCATAACTTATCCCAGACAAGAGCACAGGATGTTTGCACTGAAACAAGAAATTGATTGACGCATTTTGAGTACATTTCCTAAACACCCATCATTAAGAAAATATACATGTGGACTTAAACTTCCTGATCCTTTTGAAGTAACCGATTTTGCCAAGGGTTTTTTGGTCAGTATCTGTACCACTACTGTATTTAAGCACACCTTCTCTGCCACTCTCTGGATTCTCTTCCACAGCACTGGGTGGGGTTTTTTTACCCATCATTCAAAATGACAAGCTTCCTGACACAAATGCAACACTCAAGTGAGAGATTTTAACTCTATAAATCAGATGATGCCACAATCACAGTTCAATGAAAGAAGCAAAAATCAGATCAAATCAAACAAAGAGATCCCATCATCCCCTGCCGCATCCTCCCTCCTCCCCTTTCCCACCCAACCAGCAGCTCTGGAGTCCATAAAGGAGATCCGAGCAGAGCAGCTCTGGCACACACTGCTAAGCACAAAGTAGGACATATGAAATACGCTACAGTTTAGGGCTTGTTTTGTTGTTTGCACTCTCCTGCTGAGAAGTGCACCGGCACATGCACAAAACCAACATTTAAAGTGATCTGCAGCTACCTCCTGAAATATGCTCTGACACGCTCTACCCAGCAAGTTCATTCAAACACGTTGACTACAGTCAGCAACAAAAATATTGCAGGGTTTGCCTGGTGGGTTCCTAAGCTCGTTAGTCAGAAAGCTAACAAGCTCTCTGTACTTCCTTTACCCCAACACCACTGCAGGCACCATCAAAAGCAAACAAACTTTATATGGCAATAAATTTTGTATTCAAATAAGCTTGTCAACGCCAATTACCTGAACCACAACCATCAAATACCAAGCAGCACTTCCAAGCACTCAGGAAGGCAGCTGAAGCCCTGGCTCTACTGTAGAATTAAAACACCAGGTCAGGGCAGTGTTGGGAGGTCCCCGGGCATGACTTTTACAGAACACAGCCAACAGCAGAGCCACCCATGCTACAGCAGTTTGTACACCCCAAAGCTGCCGGTTCTGCTTCTTACACAGGCTTTACTTAAAGGTAACAATTCACACACCACCAGGTATTTTTCACAACTAAAAATTCAGAGAAAAAAGTCATATTTTTAGATGTGGAATAAGCTCAGCAATGTACCACACATTACAAAAACACCAGTCATTTTTTTCCCCTAAAAACATGTTCTAAGGTATGATCGCTGAATCGCTGGCAGGATTCTTCTGGAAGCCTTCACAAGCTAAAGAGTTCCAGCAACATTAACATGACAGAGTTTGAACTCCCAACATGTTTCAGTGCTACAAGCAGGGAACAAGATATTCCAGAAGAAACTCTTCAGCACATCACATCAAATCATGACACAGAGCACTTTTTTTTTTCTGTAATATTTTATTTTATTTATATAGAAATACTTAAAAAAACATGAAGTAGCACCATTACTTAAGTTTTACTTTTATTATGTAGAACTTTAAATGTCAGAAAAATAAAACTCTTGATACAATTTCAAATCTTGTCTCAGCAAATATAATATTAGTATTTGACCATGAGGTTAAAGGCCCTTTATCATAAAATAAAATATACTTTGTTTTTAAACTTTGCTCAGTAAAGTACATTTAAGCTCAAGTAACGTCACCTACATATACATAAACAAGTGGTAAACAAATGTATTAAAATAGAAATACTAAAACTATAGTGGTGCAACAGAATTTTTGTAATTTCCACTGAATTCTATTTATACAAATGTTAGAAAGCTTCAACAGTTCCTTTTGACATATGTTTATACATTTCCATTTTTGTAATAATATAGAATAAAATATGCTTTATATCACTGAATAGAAAATATGCTGGGTGAAGCAGATCTAAAAGATTTTTTTTTCTGAACCTATAAAATCTCCATCCCAACAGAATACTGTTCAAAGCATTACACATTTTATGGTTTGTAATTCCGTTCACAATTGTGTGATATTAAAATAATACAGTGTTCTTTGCCATAAGGCCATACTAAAATAAAAAAGATTTAACCCAGCTACAAAAAGTTCACTGAACTTAAATTAAAATACTTGTAAACATCTTTGCAATATGAAATATAATTTTTCAAGTCAAAAAAGAATAAAATACTTCAATCTGTATTAATGCAATTTATCTTTAAAACCTTTAAACGTTTTTAATATATATAAGAGATATGTTACAGTTTGTGTTTTTTTTTTCTTTTTTAAACTTTGATAAAGCTGCAGTATCATGGTTTTTTCACAGGAACTTCTTGCCCTTTCAAGAACATTCAGAAAAGTATCCACCCATAGATTTAATTATTTCATAATAAGCATCCTAGGAACTACCAGCACGGTTTACTAACAGTCCACACACCATTGTCATCATCATAAGCATCTTCTACTTTCAGTATTTTTTTCTATGTTTTTTCTTTTGTTTGTTTATAAAAAAGGGGGAGTTTTGGAAGCTTCGTATTAAAGTACAGTGTAAAAACTAGCCTAGCACTAGAATGGAGTCGCCCGTTATTATTTATAGCATGCACCCGCTGTCACCACCACCACCCCCCGCCCTCCCTCGGCTGCGCCTCGCTCGCAGCCCGCACCCCCTTCGCGGGCCCCGGTGCGACCGGGTCAGCCCGGCCCTGCCCTGCTCTTCCCGGCCCTCAGGAGAAGATGCGGATGGCCTGGGTGACGGCGCTGTGGCAGACGGGGCACTGCGGCTCCGTCTTCTCGCAGATGCGGTTGGCGCACTCCATGCAGAAGAGGTTGTGGCCGCAGGGCACCAGCGCCGCGATCACCTCGCTCTCGAAGCACACCGAGCAGTCGCGGCTGCCCTTCCGCCGCACGCCGGACGACGAGCAGGAGGAGCTGGACGAGGAGCTGGACGAGGAGGAGGAGGAGCCGGACGAGTCGGAGGGCAGCCCCGGCAGGTGCGCGCCCAGCCCGTTGCCGTACAGCGGGTAGGAGCCGGCCAGCAGCCGCCCGCCGGGGTCGCTGCGCACCCGCCGCGCCAGCGGGTGCTCGGGCCCCGCCGCGCCGCCGTGCAGGGGCGGGGAGAGCCGCGCCGGGGGCGGGGCGCCGCCGCCGCGCCGGGGGCCGCTCACCAGCAGCGCCAGGTTGGCATTGGCGGGCGCGGCGCCCGGGAAGGCGGTGGCGGGCGAGGGCGCGGGCGAGGGGGGCGCGGCGGGGCCGCGCTCGAACTGCGGCCAGAGGAGCGCGGCCCCCGGCGGCGGGGCGGGCGCCAGGTCGAAGCCGGGCGGCGAGTCGAACGGCAGCTCGGAGCAGCAGTCCGGGGAGGAGAGGACGTCGCCGCCGCCGCCGCCGTACACATAGCCGTTGGCGCTGCCGCTGTTGTTGTTGTTGTTACCGTTGTGGGTGAAGCTCAGCGCCGGGCTCGGGGGGCTGTAATCGGCCAGGCGGGCGCCGCCGCCCCCCCCCGAGCCGCCGCCGAAGTAGGAGTCGGTGGAGGCGCTGCCCAGCGAGCTGGAGCTGTCGTTGCGGTAGTTGCAGAAGGGCTTGCGGCCTGGGGTGGGCGTGATGCTGGGTGGCGTTGGCTTGCTCCAGAGGCTGCCCGTGCCGTTTAGCTCGAAGCCCACATCCGTGCCGTTGGCGTGGAAGTCGTTCTCGTCGGTCAGCTCGATGATGCCGCCGGTGCGCATAGCGATGTGCGCCTCGATCTCCTCCCGGGCCCGGTCCACATTCTCGGGCATGCCCGTCACCTCAAAGACTGGCTCCTTGTCCCGGCTCGGGGTCACAATGTAGGTGTGCGTCTGCTGCTGGATACGCTTGATGGTGGCCCCTTTGGGCCCCACAACCAAGCCCACCACGCGATAAGGCACCCGCACCTGGATGGTGGTTTGGCCGGGCAGGTTCGGGGGGCCGGGGACAGTGCCGTTCAGGGCTGTGTTCTTGTTCCGTGATGCTCGGATCATGGAGAAGTGCTCGGCCGCTGAGATGATTTCCCTGCGGGCCATGGCCACATCTTCCTTTCTGCCCGTCACAACAAAGAGCGGCTCCTCCCCGCGAACCGGGGTCTTGATGTAGGTGTTGGTCTTTGCCCGCAGAGCTTTGATTTTACAACCTGGGAACAGAGATGCGGGAGATGGAGGGCGAAGGGGAGGGGGAGGAAGGGGAGGTGGTGGGGAGAACCGGTTACAACCCATTATTTGGGTGCAGCTAAGGAGGGGAGAAGAAACACACCCACCCGAAACACATTGCCCCCTACCCCAGGTGATCGCTGGCATCTCGTCCAGTCATCCCAGTCACAGTGTAAAGTAATGTCAGCCCACAGCTCTGGCACACGCCCAAAGGCATCGCAAGTGGCCACAGATACATCTGCCATGCAAACTGCCCCAAAACTACCAACGTGCAGTTTGCAGGAATGGCAACACAAAAAGGAGCGTGCAGAAAAACTGCATGACCAGAATAAAATATAATAAAATAAAATGCAAGCAGCCCTAACAAACCAAGACACCCGCCAGTCCGCATTCCTGCTCAGCACTTTCCTCTCGGAAAAAATAAAATCAGTTCTTAGGAAGGTGAGGAGGGGCGGCTGTACGGAATGAGCCACATTCCCCACTGCGGATGCTTTATTCCAATCCCATTGTTCCACTTCCCCACTCCATTTCTCTTCCTTAAAAATAATCCACGATTTCTAAGTTTGGGGGGAGGAAGCATCGAGGCTCCCATTTTCCTCCCGTTTCCTCTTGCAAATCTTAACTTTTGCAGCCGGAGGAAAGGAGCGATTTTTTATTATTATCGCGGTTGTTGGTTTTTGTTTTGTTTTGTTTTTTTCCATTTTCCTTTCCCCTCCCGGCAGCTGAAAGTGCATCCCGAAACTGATGCATAACGCTCCTCGGGAACATCACTGCTGCACTTTCTTTGTCTGGTGAAGCCGGCGCTGGCCACCACAGGACAGCTGCAGCTCGCCCGGGCACGGCCAGTGCGACAGCTGAACCACTCGCCCGGCAGCCCAGCGGGGAGCCCCGCTGGCCCGCACCCCCGGGAGGCATGCAGTCCGTCCGTCCGTCCGTCACCCACCTTGTCTCCCCACTATCTCCGCGACATGCTCCGAGCTGGGCACCGGGACGCACTCGGTCATGTTCACGCTCTTTTTCCGAGGCTCGCTGTCGTAAATGGAGCCCGTCTCGTCGTTGTCCAGCCCCAGCAGGGAGAGCTGATCCAGGGCGATCTGGAGGGCTCTTTGGTCATCCAGGGTCTCTCCCCCGCCACCACCGCCACCGCCGCCGCCGCCGCCGCTCCCGTTCCTCTCCATGTCTGCGAAAAGCGAGCTGGGCATAGTCCCTGCGAGCGCTGCACCCTCCTCCTGCGCTCGGCTCAGTAGTAAAAGATCAGACACAAAGGAAAACCCAAGGCAGATGGCCAGCAGGAGAGAAGGGAAGGGAGGGTGGGCAACTGCTGGAGACCGGGGAGTTGTTGCCTTTTGCTTGTATATTTTGTATCTTTTTTTTTTTCCTTTTTTTCCCCCTCCGCTCAGTGCAATCCGGTTTATAAGATGTTCTCAGGACCCCCCCCACGGTTCCCCCCCGGAGGTTTGCTTTTTTTTTTTTTTTGGTTTGCTTTTTTTTTCCTTTTTTTTTTTTTTTTTTTTTGTCGGCTGGGGGTGGGGTGGGGGGGTGGGAAGAGGATAGCGAGAGGAGCTCCGATGGCTTCCCCCCCTCGAGTTCCTCGCTGGCCACAATGCCAAGCGACGGCAGCGTTTCTTTAAGGAGCCCCTCCCAGGCTCCACTCCACTCACTCAGCGTTTTTTTTCCCTCCTCTCCCCTCCTCTGTCTGAGGCGCTGCTGCAGCCAGACGGCTCCGGAGAGGCGGGCGGAGGGCGGAGGGACAGGGGGAGCGGGGGGGGGCCCGCAGCGCACCCGCGATCGCTGACAGCCCCGCACCGCCGCCATTGGCCGGGCGCGGCGCTGAGGGGCCGGCGCTGACCCCCCCCACAGCCCCCCCTCCCGCACCCCGGCCCGGCTCCGCTCTTTGTTGTCGGATGCCGAAACAATACCGGGCCCTGCAGCCCGGTTGCGATCCTCCGGCCTCGCCGTGCTGCCCGTCTCCTCGCCGGCCGGGTATTGCTTCCCCGCCCGCTCCCGGCACAGCGCCGGCGGGGGGCTGGGCCCTTTTGGGTGGTTATTTTGTGTTTGGCAGGGGGGCGTGTGCCGAGATGGGCGGACACCGCGGTCCTTTGTGTGCCGCCTGCCTCGGGAGGAGCGCGGGGCAGGGACCGGAGCCCGCCGCACTCGATGGAGGCCGGCATCGAGACCGTCCCTTACGGACCGGGCGGGTCGGTGGCTGCACCGAGAGCGCAGATCCCCCCCTTAGCGGCTCCCGCCCGCCGCCGGGGCGCGCCCTGCGCCTGCGCGCCCTTCCCCCGCGCTGCGCACTGCGCGCGCGTAGCGCCGTGGCCGGCGCGGACAGGACCCGTGGGGCCCGGGCCCGGGTTCGTTGCACGGCCCTGGGGCCCTCCCCTGGGTTTCCTCCTGTGGCGGGATAACGGGAGCCGCGGTGCCCTGAGAAGCGGGAGGGCAGCGGCTGCGGAGGTGCCTCCTGCTCCTCCCCGGGGGCACAGCAGCAGCGAGTGCTCGGCGGCAGCACCTGGAGCGGGAGACAGAATGTGCCGCCGCTCTTCAGGCTGCCCTCCATAGGGATCGGGCCGGGTGACCCGGTGGGTTACAGGATGCGCTGTGACTGGCAAATCCTGCGTTCTCCACCGGCCCCCACTCGTGCAGCATTAACGCTTCAGGGTCCGAAGGGAGAGGCCGCATCACGCCTAGCTGCGCTAGCAGATCCTTAACATCCATCTTGCTGAGCCACGAGAAAATAAATCACCCTTGCCCCTTCCTTGGACCTTACGTGACCAAATCACTTTCATCTCTCTGACACCACGAGACCCTTCACCAGTAATACCAGTTTTCCCATCAAGTACCTTGTCACAAAACCCTTCCTTTAGTCGGATGACAAGACACGAAAGTGTCTTAACAGTTCTCATAAAAACACCACCATCACGTTTTACTTCTCCAGCTTTTGTCCATGCCTCTCTAAGCATCCACACTTAGTCCTTGCCAGCTGCGAGGTACAAAAGACTAAACTTCTTACTTCAGAAATCAAACACAAAGTGATTGTTTTCCAGGATCAAGTTTGAAGGGCACAGGGGTTTACAAGTGCCCACAGATCTGTTTAGCCAGCTGCCTGTACAAACAAGTGTAACAAGTCACAGGTAATTGTTTACACACAGTGTTTATTGCAAATTACTGGCACTTCCTCAGGATGTTTGCATGTTTTATAACAAAGCTCCAGTGTTTGCTAGTAAGGGTATACACTGGTGATGTGCTTTCCCAAGTGCTTGGCTTGTCTCATCAACCGAGGAAGTTCGGTGGTTTAATATCTAAAAGATTACTTATTTTACACATTTACATTTCACTTCCATAGGGGGTAAACAAGAGATTACTTCTGAATGCTCAAGGAATCAGAAGGCTCTTAATTATTTTCAGCGTTGGGCATCTTTCTTTAAACAGAGAAAAAGCAGATGGACAGAGCCTTTGACAGCAATAAAAATAATGCTGTTTATTATTAAATAAAATGCAAATGAAAAGTCTGCTGCTTTGCAGCCGTTTTAACTCAAGGACTCTAAAGTCTGTGAGACAGAAAATAACTGTACCCATTTACCAGACAGGGGCAGGACAGGACAGAGGTGAGAGACTGTCAGTGTAGAGGATTGCTGTTGGTAAAAGTCCAACAGCAAAGGCCATCAATACTGAAATGCAAAGATACGAGGAGAGTGTCTGAGTTGTGCTTGGATTTTACCTGTTCTTTGTTTATTCTCCTGATTTATATTACACCCTTTTTTCTCCCTCTCCACCTCATCTGCTTAAATTCTGGTTGTGTTTCACCTCAAGACCACTGTACTGAACATGCAGGTACTGACCAGGGAAAAAGGAAAGCAAGTTATCTTCAGGTTTATGTGCCTAGATAGAAAAAATTTTCCCAAAACACGATTTCATGAAGATCTAGGGTTTTTCGTTTTTGTGTTGTTGTTTGTTTTGATTTTTTAATAATGTTAAGCCAAAAGGTCAAACTGAAAATGTTTAAAACGCATTTCAGAATAAGCATGGCACTTCCCAGGGGCAGGGGGAAAAGGAGATGCATTTCTGGGAGACTAAGCGGGCACTGGTGTGTCAGGCCTCCCATGAATCCTGTGCAATGGTCCAACATCTTGAGGGCTATTGCTTTTTTACTATTTTAGAAAACTACAGGGAATAATAATAATAATAATAATAACAACAATAAAAAAGTTATACTTGTGTGCCTTAAAACATGCACGCGCCAACAGTGCAGCCCCCCTGGGAACACAGAATCTATGCAATAGTGTGCTCATATGGCAACAAGCAGTGCACACAAGATTCATATGGATCTACCTACTCCACAGAAATATTTCTCCAGAATAACTTAATCAGATCTAAATTAAATCGCTATCTATCTACATAATGCCTTTCATTACATAAAACCTCAAAACATACGCAGCATTATAGTAAACTCCCTCTCTGAGGGAGAGACCAGCCATCTACCTACCAATTTACAGCAGCTTAACAAAAGCAGGAAGGGAGGATATATTACAGGCAAATACAGGACTCGTTGCAGGAGGAGTGTAATTCTCAGTCCTTTTAGGTTCTCTCTGTTATCATTTCCCATTTGTGACAGAGGTAATAAAACTTCCTTCCTCCAACCTTTATTTAATTAAAATGTAAGGTCTTTGGGGCAGTGCGCTTACTGTGTGTACATACACCACACCTAGCATGAAGAAGCCATGAATTAATCTGAGGCCTTTAAATACTACTCTAAAGCATTAGCAGTAATAAGAATAGGATATAATTTTCATCTAGAACAGATGAGACCTCTGTTTTCAGTGTATCATCACAAAGAACAAATTACATGCATCTCAGGGAATAACTAAATTAAGGGTCAAAGAAAAGGTTTTCATACCAGAGACTTGCAACTCCACTCTGTCCCAGTTGTTTACCCTTAAGGACACTGCTGCTTACTAAAATGCCTATTTGCCATAATCTTACAAAATAATGTCCCAAATCCCACAGGCCAGATCATTAATAGGCATAGCAATATAGTTTATTCTGAGACAGTGCATGTGATTACTGGGGTAACACACCCAAATTAACCTTTTGCATGTGCAATAAACTTCAATTAGCAATCTGCAGACAAATGAAAAGTTCTTTCTTTTCCTGCAATACGTAGCAATAGACAAGCCAGATTTCCCATTGAATCCCATATTAACCTACATTCAGTGGCAGCAAAATCTCAGAGTACCGTGTCAGAATTTATCATCTCTCAATGATGTTGGCTCCACCTCTTGACAGTTCTAGACAAGATGTTTATAAACAACAACTCATCCAGAAGCTGAACAACTGCAGCTGAAAACGTTTATTATTTTTCCATCAGTTGTTCCAACCACTTTGGATGCCTTCTACTAAGAGATGGGCAGAGATCTCAAACCAGTATGGTTGTGTTAATAAATGACAAGAAATAAAGTGGAGATGGAGTGGTGAGTGGCTTTGTGATACCTCCCTGAGCTGGAAGGAGGCTTAGGGGTAGGGAAGCTGCAGAAGTGCCTCTTTCCCTCGTGGTAAGGAATGTCACATCAAAATACACAAACGGGGAGATGCTGTTGATGATTTCCTCCACATGAGCTTCCATCCCCATAAGTGTAAACCTCTCCTTGTTACAGAATTCATTTGCAAAATATTTTCTTTTAAAACAAAGATATTCTGGGACAAGTTGTCCCAGAAGCAATTTTGACATAAACCAGAAAAAGTCTCAGGCCTGTAACAGTCACAACCAGTCTCTGAAAACACTGACATAGTGCTGTAAATTTACACAAGTTGCTAATGGCTTTACTAAACCAAAATGCTTGTTTGCAGTATATTAAAACAGAAAATATTATTGTAATAGGCATCACATACTGTACTTTTTTTCATATGCATTTGGTGTTGGTTTGACATGAGCTATTAGAATGTGCATGTATGTAGGGGATGAACTGCCTTACAAGAATGCAGTTTTGTTTAACATGACTGATGGAAGGTGATTCAAAAAGCATAAAGATGCCTTTACCATAAATCAGAACTAACCAGCCAGATCACCTGCCCACTTCAAACTCTCCACCTGGATTGCGAGTGGCCTCCTTCACTTATTGTTCCATTCTGCCTCTCACTTATGAACAAGGGTTATCACACTGCATATCCAAATTAAGTGGTGTTTAACAACAGTGGTGACCAGAGTTTGAAAACGGAAACCGTTCTGCCTTTCCTCTGTTCTCCCATTATGTGTTTAGAGTCCAGCCTTCCAGGCTGCCCCTGCATGCAGCGCACTCAATGGAGTGCTCCTCTGCATGCGGCTGTGGGATTGGAGCTCTTTGTTACCACGGCCCTTGGGCCAGTATTCAGTTCGTGATGCAGCACTGGCGTCTGAAGGCTGCAAAGCACCTATCACACTGCGGACACTATCTATTAAACAGTAGCTAGAGCTAAAAAAATGGAAGAAAAGATTTATATTTGTATGTTTAGACAGAGCTGGATAACTCGTAGAGGTAGCTCATAACCTTGAACCTTTTTTCGTCAGTTTTAATCTCTGAAATAGTAAATTATAATTAAATTTTAATTTAATTTAAACCTGTGAAATAGTTAATTATAATTATGGTCATAAAACATGTATAACCTTCAGCTTCCTCTCCTCTCCATCCCTTCCCCCTTACTCAGTGCTGCTACAAGAAGGAAAATAATTGTCCCTTTAATGCTAATTGTTTATAAATGCCATTGTACAAAGACTATGTTTATATACAACGCCTAGGCAAAATCTAGGCACAAATGCAGTACTCATCATAAATGAGTGAATAATCTATCCCTGATCATATCCCAGTGCTCTCCAAAAAAAGAATATCTAATTCCTGCCACAGAACTGCCTTATAGGTTGAAGTTCAGCTTATAAATACACATGGGAAAAGATTAGATTTTAATTGATAAGTATTAATCATCATCCATTTCTGTCTCTGCAGGAAGCACAATGTTCAAACATCTAGTTAATATACTGTATAATGGATAACCTTGAGGCAGAAGCTCTTGCATCTGTCTCTATCTAAGAAAAAATGTCAACATCAGCCTTTGTTGTAGCAAAATACCCTGACATCTGAATGGAGTTGCTGCTGCTCAGAAATTGACTGTCTCCAGTGCAA